TTATAAATATCAACCTGATGCTATCGTGACTCTACCTCGTTACCTTAAAGATAGAAACCAGCGAAGCGACCAGTACACACACCTTAGCTACTGTCACGCACTCACCACGACGAGTGAGAGTGCAAAAAAGCTTGTACCAGCCCCACACACGTACCTTCTCACTCACTTGTCTCATTGCTTTAATCGAGACAGACGCCACACTTAGTGACTGGCAACGGTCAACTGTAGACATGCTTCGCAAATTTGAGTCTTCGCGCATACCGATTTAAATTATCGCTTGAATATATAGGCCTCGCCTATGCAAAGTAGTTGTTGCGATGGCAACTGTTATTCCGGGTAGTAACGAACGCCGATGCCTTTTAAATTATCAGGTTGTTTTAATTTGGCCATCAAACGGGTCTTATTTAGCTATAATCTTAAAAATTCATGTTTGCAATTGATAATTTCGATCATAATATTCCCCCTGGTTTCTTTACACGCCCATGTTTATCATTAACGAATGTCGTAATGTATTTGTCAGCATTCACATGATTAAATTTCGTATTTTGGATACACAAAGTATTTGCTGATTATCATATTACGATAATATCATGTTGTGTCTTGACTATATATATTTGTCATCCTGTATACCCAGGTTATACCAAGGTCTTTTTTGATGGCCGGCATGCCTCCTCTAATACCAGCGTATTGTGTTTACTGAATCGCAGCGCCATTCGTTTTCTAACATTGAATTGCTACTTGGATGGTAAAAAAAATCTCAAGTGCATTCTGGCCTCTCCTACCACAAGCCCATGCTACATACCTTATTTGTTAACACATACCAATGCAAAAAGCGTTGTCTGGCCGAAATTGCAAGCGAATCTCGTGCGTGCGCGGCGACCACGCCTAGGTGTCTGCTTCGTTCTATACTTTTCTTGTACGGATAAACAGATATATAAAGACGGGCTACCGTGCCTGGTAGAGATATGGTGTTAGATATGTTAGCATACTTTTCCTATCTTGATGCCGACGTTGTTAGGCGCCGCCATATACTTACTACTTACTACTACTACTATACTACTATATATATATATATATATATATATATATATATATATATGCTAACGCCGTAAGTACACATTAATTACTGACGAGCTCTTCCGCGCATGCGCTATGGCCTCTACTGTTGGTATTTTCAGGCCGCAGTGAACAACAGGTAGGTACAGACTACCATGAGCTGACAGCTCTGCAAATATATGCTGCAATTATGCTCGGTGTAGTAATAGGAAGAAGGAAGTTTGTCTCCACCCTGGTAACGTCTGGCCTCTATCTGGGTTTCGTTATTCTTATTCATTAGCGGGCGTTAAAATTGTGGGATGATGACAGTTTGTCGTTATACCTCTAACACATATACTTACCTCTAGCATCAACGTCACATGATACCAATTCCACTGTAATGCCCGGGTTACTCGGACTTATTACTGTTCTGACTATTTAACTCTCATGAAAACACAGAAATATAGACTCTAGCTCTTTATGAAATGCGCCCGTATATATACTGCGTGAATCTGACCATAGCTTACGTGATATGCGTCTTCAGTTACTATTATACATGGCAGGAAAGAGTATAGTTGCTACTGTGTAGTATGTATACCAGTGCGTGCCTGCGTGTGTGTCTATGTGTATGTGTGCGCGTGCGCGTGTGCAAGTGGTGTGTGTGTGTATGCGTGCGTGCGTGCGTGCGTGCGTGCGTGCGTGCGTGCGTGCGTGCGTGCGTGCGTGCGCGCGCGCGCGCGTGTGTGTGTGTGTGTGTGTGTGTGTGTGTGTGTGTGTGTGTGCATGCGTGTGTGTGTTTGTGTGTGTGTTTAGTGAAACCTCCCTATCAATAGACAATGTGTGAACGCGCGTGAAATTTGCCTGCGTTCTCTTCCGCAGTTTTACCGTTGCTCGCGTTGCATACCAACTTAATTGCTGCCGCATTAAAAGCTTATTAATGTGAGTTCGTTATTACATAGATAATTATGCGAGTTTGCACTCTCTGTATGTAAAACCTGTTCCGTAAACCTGTGTATCTATGCGAAAAATACATACCTTAGTTCTTGCGCATCATTTATAAGCAGAGACTGTATAGTAGTTTTTTATAGTATAGTTTAATTTTTTAGTGTATAGTAGTAAACCTATGTATGAGTGAAGCTGTCAGCGTCGATATAAATCTCCGTCATAATCTCTCTTCAATGATCGCGTGAAAATAGTCAAGGAAATATTCGAATGTCGTCCGACATTTTCGTTTAATAATATTCGTTTACAAATTCGTAGATATATATATATAAGGGAGGCATTGCTCTGGTGGCTTAATTCATACGAGCCGAAGCCGTTACTGGCTGTCTTAACACAAACGGCCTAAATTGCGTGTATTTGCCGTTATTCCAGTTGCTCAACTAATGATGGCATTTAGTAGGTGTTAGGGTACGTGGCTCGACACCTGGATCGTGCGCATATCCTTCAAAACACGTCATTCGTATAATAACATATATCCTGTAACCTGTACAGATCCTCATCGTCCTTTACAGGATATCTCCTTTGTGTTGTGGCTAAATGTCGATACCCGTCCTCACTCGTTAGATATGCCAGGTATGTGGTTATGCCAACATTCAAGGCAAACATTACGCTTGCACGGCCCGGATGTTTCTGACACTTTCCATTCGCTTTGTTGACGTGCCGGATGTCAATACACATAAGTCATAGATAGAGTACGACGCAATCTTGTTCGAGATTATGAAATCACACACGCTGATGTTTGTTAAATAGCATATGATAAACCCTTTAGATGACAAGCGAGATGGTACGATGGCTTGTGAAATAGTGGAAATACCGGGAGAGAGGGGCCACAAGGAATCAAACAAGCGTATGAGAAAGAGAGAGAGTAAGAGAGAGAGACGGAGAAAGAGAGAGAGTGAGAGAGAAAGAGAGAGAGAGAGAGAGAGAGAGAGAGAGAGAGAGAGAGAGAGAG